TCAGCAGAAAGTCCGCGCTTCTGGTGTTAGGAGCATACATAGAATACTGGGAACCATAAAGAAAAACTTGAAGATACTCTCAGGCATACTTATTTTTAGACTAGTATCGTACTTCGGTGGTCACACTTGAGAGGAGCTGTTACACAGTCTTTAATTAAAATGCATTGCCCAAGTTCTTGATAGGTTACTGATTTTAAGCTCCTGTAATTGAAGATTGTGGAAATACATGCAAAGGTTTCAGTTTGTGTTTTATAGTAAGAAGTAGTTGACCAAATCTGCCCAGTTCTCCATAAGGATCTGCTCAATAAATTCTTGTCAACAGAGACAAGAAAGAAAAACTGTAACAGATGGACTGTGGATTAATCCAAACATTAGAACAGCCTACGATACAGTAATCAACAGCAAGTCGTCCTAGAAAGGGGTTGCACTGTTTTCACCCGAGATTTTCCCTGAGCTCTTGGTGCAGTTGGGTTCATTTTGATGACTGAAGCAAACCTAAGGAGACTTGCATTAAACACAAGATGTTTTTGTCAGTCTGGCGTGCCAAAAAGATGGGCAGGAGGTTCATGAGCAGGGTGCAGAAGACCAGGCAGTTTAATCTGCCCAGATTGGTAGGTTGTCTGAGGTGTATTGTGAGTAATAAGGTAATGATCTTTTATATTAAATATTTATACTAAAATAGCTCATTATAGAATAATTGTGCTGGGATGTTTACTTATAAGTTGGTTTCAGCAGTAAGATATGTACTTTTTATTGATGATGTAAATGCCATTTGGTCAAAAACTATCCTTCGGTCCTTTCTGAACTAAAAGTTAAGATACATTTTATAGCATCTCTTAGCAGAAAGGGTTAACTACTTTTTTTTTTCTCCACAGTATTTGTGTCCTGAACTCCTGGGTTTTGGTTTAGACTCTACTGCATATACTTGTTTATGAGACTTAGACTTAGGCCAGTAAAAGTTTGTTACATCTAGAATTCTGAAAAGTGTAAGAAAGAAACATGAGTTTGTATCTGAATTTTCAGTATTGTTTTTGTTCCCATGCCTGAAGAGTTTAAGTTGCATAGTCTTATGTTTGAATATCCAACTTCTGAATATTTCTTTGGCCTCTGTTTTTGGTCAAAACCTAGCTGATATTGAAAATAAAATAAGTCCCTGCCATTGTTTTAGGTGATTCTTGGATTTTCTCTGTTAAGACAATCAGGTTTTTTTACCTTTAGGGTCTGTGCTTATTTTAGCCAATACTCTATTAGACCAAATGGTGGTAAAACTAATATAAGACACTTCAAATGCTTCAGGGGGACTGTTGGTTTTTGTTTAGAAAGGATAATTGATATATAACTGCTGTTTCTGTTCACAAACAATTTTTGCTGCTGTGCCTTTTTAATTTTAGGTATGCATTCTGCTTGTACAGTTATGCCCAGGAAACCTTTATCTGAGAGATTAAAATACAGTATGTCATGTTTTGACTTGTCTCAGAAAGCTGATAATACCAGTTGCTTGGATATAAAGTCAGAGGAATTCTAGTCTAAGTATTTGATGTTAATTTTTACATTTAGTAACCACTGTGATTACTATATCTTGCTAATTGGCCACAGAATAAATAATGTTACTCTGCAGCCTCTACAAATGCAGATGAATCTTGCAGTAAATTTCTTAACCTGTAGAGATGTGTACTGATGTGGAAATCTTTAATTATATGCTGTTTTGTTTTGGGGCAGGAATATTTTCAAATCTGCAAATTCTCAATTATTGCCTAACAGTAAATAGTGTTTTTTGTTTTGTTTTAGTGTGTGGTGGGTTTTGTTTGCTTTGTTTTTAATTTTAGTCCCATCAGTTTAATATCCAGAATATTGAAAAGGGGTGATGGAAGCTCTTTTGGAAGTCCTTTTAGGAAGTCCTTTAGGATGGAAGTCCTTTTAGGACTTCCTGCAGTTTCCTGATGAGCCTCTCTATTCTGCCTTTTGAGGCAATCATTCACAGATGCAGTTCCAGTGTTGATGATTTTCCTTTCTCTGGATATTGCCTTTTCTTTGCAAATAGAGTCATTCACAGATGCAGTTCCAGCTGTGACATCCGTGTTGATGATTTTCCTTTCTCTGGATATTGCCTTTTCTTTGCAAATAGAACTTTTTCCAGTTTCTACTTGTAGGTGTTTGACCCTCTGTTGAAATGCTCTTTGACTGAAACGAGCCATTGTTTTTACAACCTCCCACTGTTTTTTCTACTCTACAAGTGTCCATTCTTCTAATCTGGACTCCTTTGTGCTATCCTGGTTTTGTGCCATCTGTAGAGCTATGCTTTGCCTTTATCTTCAGGTTACTTTGTAGCACACGAAAATCAGGGTTTTTCTCATCACCACAGTACCAGCTCCTTCTACAAATAGCTGCAACTGTATCTGCTTAGGCGTCAGCAGATCTTGCTCGATATCGTTGCATCCATATGGAGTGTAGGTGACACAGATTGCTGCCTTGCATCACCAGCGGGATTGCATAACCTCCTCCTTAAGTACTTTTCTGGATTTCTCTCCCAATTGAAATTAAATCATCGTTGCTTCACTTTCAGGAAGCTTTTTCTCCATGTGATGCTTTCCTGAAGTGCTGATTTCTAAAATCACTGTGTAATTGATGCCATATTGGATTGTTGGCTGTGTGGGAATCAGCCTTGAAGGAAACTGCCTTAAAACACAGCAGACCTCTCTTATCTTCAGACAGATTGATATAGCAGTAAAAAAAATAGCTGCTTGGTACATTTCTTGTCCACATATTGTGATGCTTTCTTCCAGAATTTTGCACAATATTCTTCTGTGTGGCTTCGTTTGGAGCCTATGGGGACAAACAGAGAGAAAAATGAATTCTTGAAGAAGTTCTTTTGAAAGTTAAACAAATTCTTGTTCTCTAGGGTATCTATTAATGGTATAGCAGTGTTGACATTCAAGGCCATATATAGAAAAAGATTGAAAATATTTTCACCTTGACTCTTTATAAAAAGACTTGGTACTCAAAGCATATAATTTTTACCTTGTTCCGAATACCTTCAGTCATAGCCAGGGATTAATCAATTTTTCTGGTAATAAATTCATAGCATTTTTCAGGCTAGGTATGTTTTTTGTGTCTGGAAAAAGGTAGGGCTCAGAAAGTGCTGCAGTCTTCCTGTGAAAAAATTGCCATTGTGAGAAGCTTGTACATTTGAAAAAGTCCTATTTACTGTGTCTCAGGCATTTCTCAACCTCCATTATCTATCTTATGCTCATAGCTTTAAGGACACTGCACAAGTCAGATCCAGTTTCATATGACTTACAGTGATGAGCCATTCTATTTTATAAATATTAATAAAGTCTGTCTGAAAGGTGTGCTCAGAATATTGGCATGTGGTGTGTTATTGAGCTGTACTGGTGACTAGAACTAAATGGTGCATTGATCTCGCTACGACACATTTCAATTAATGTCCTTCTTATTTTGCTTGTAATAGAAGTCAGCAGGAAAAAACCTGTTACTCAGAATAGGATAGCTGTCAGTAAGAATTTGTTAAACAGCAGATTATGTTGCACCCCAAGAAGTATGTGAGGGAATTTGGTAACTCCAGTAAAATGCACATCACAGAGCAGTGGAGTTTTAGAATTATGTGGCTGTAAGTTGTGGCTGTGTTGTAAGGAATTTTTCTGCCTTTGTCATATGAAGAATTTTTTTTTTTTTTAATGTTTTCCCTGGTGCTATGAACATGATTGTAGAAATATACCACAAATTGTTTTGATATTCCAGAGATGAGCTGCTACTGAAAGCTTGGCATTTAACTGATTTCCAGAATAATCCCTCTGATGTGAGCTGGAGGATTTTCTTTAAAACAGTTGGTTATAAAAATTTGAATGGTGAGTTCTGTAAGGTAACTTGAGTTCCATATAATCTTTCAGCTCACTAATCTGAATTCTTTTTTGCTATGAAGAGAGCAGAGAAAACCTCTAACAGTAATACTTGTTATGTGCATGGAAGATCAAAATAATCTTACTGAAAAGTCCTTAGTGAATAATAAGAATTTTTTGGTTTTGAATTATTCTTGTGCTTTTGAGAAGTAATGTTGAGTCAGAAAGATATATATGTATAAAATATATATGTATTTATTATTTTCATAATATGTCACAGAAATTTGGTCATAGATGTTATGAATTACACATTATTCACAGAATAAGAACAACAGAATGTGGACTCATAGTGTTTAATCTTAGTCTCTGATTACCCCGAAACCACAGTAGAACAACTTCACTAGGAATCTTCTGATACACAACACAAAATGATTGTTTTGTGGAACTGTAATCCACTCCCTCTACAGTTGTTCTATGCACAAAAGAACAGGGAAAAACAAGAAGAAATTGGCAAATAGTTGTTTCTTAAATATTTGTTTTGAATGTGGTTTTAAAGTAATTTTGCTCTGTGGAATGTTTTCATAAAGACAGAATCAGTAAAAAGTGCAGCTCTGCTCTATATTCCCCCGTTTTGTTTGCTTCAGGTTCATAATTTATGCAGGCAAGGAAGTGAAAAGATGCTATTGGATATTTCTACAGGCAGTGATTGAAACTTGGTTATTTTTGATCTGTGCTTTCTCCACCCAGTAGCTGTTATCATCCACCACCATCCTCATAGCTGTGAATTTGTAACGTTGTACTGTACCTGCTACCCAGTTTCCCTTAAATATCTGTTAGCAGCTAGGAAGAGAAAGCAAGGCTTTCATCCTGTGCATTCCGAAAAGGAAAAATAAGGAAAACCTTTGCTTGCTGCTTTTTTTTTTTTTTTAATTTAAATTCCTCAAGATTATACTCATTGTTGTCATCACAGGTAGAGAGGGAATGTAAGAGGTAGAAAGCCGTGGAAGAAAAATAGCATCAGCTAGCAAGAATTTTGTTTTCCTGGTTTGTAAACGATGCTGCTGTAATTCTATCTGCATTTTTTTTTCCTGCTCATTCACCACTCAGCAGCTGGTAGGGAATTAAGACTGCCTGGCAACCACCTGCAGAGCTGCAGAGATGAATTACATTTTCGGAAATAACACACTCCTCTATTCTCGCGCCAGTCGAGGCAACGCTGGCTCCAGCCACAGCTCGGTAGGCCCCAAGCAGAAGCAGTGGGCAAAGAAAGGCTCAACAGATGAGTTACGGGCTGAGCCTTCCCGGTGGCAGCAGCTGGTGGCATTTTTCACTCGGAGACATGGCTTCATTGACTGCATTTCTGTTGCTGCCAGCTCCACCCAGGTAATATGCCACATGTTAAAGTGATTGTGTCTGCATGTTTGCTGGTTACTTGCTAGTCAGAAAGAGCAGTTATTTATATATGCATGATTTCGTGTAATCTCTTATTTATGGATGGCGTTTTCTGTCTGCTTTCATTTTCATATCTTAAAGAGCTCTGTATAATTTCTTGCATTAAAGCATGAAAATGGAAACACACTAAATGAGGTCTGATTTTTATTAATTTTGCAAGTGATGAGCCTCCAGCAATTTTAAATATGAGATATCCTAATGAAACAGTGAAATATTGAAAATGTAGTTTGCATTCTGCTGCCTAGCACTGGAGGGCAATAACGTAGTTAAGAAATATCAATTCCATAGCTTTAGTAAGATGTCAAATCAAATGGACTGCGTATTTAATAGTTAAGGAATTTTATCTAAAGAATTAAATAATTGAAAACCTTAACTCTAGGTGACATAACAAATTCAATACTGTAACAGCTTTCTAGGTTTTTTGGCTGCTAATAGTACACAGATGAAGGAATGTCTCCCTTACATACAGGGTGTACATTCAATAGTGCAGTCTGTAAGAAAAACATGACATTTTTCAACTTCTCTGTCCATCTGCTCTATGTGATGTTTGTGTTAATCATCATTTAAAGTCACGTAAAAGCAAGCAAGCTAAATTTTAATTGTGTAGCTTTTAAATGACTTCTTAAGATTGGCACTGAGAGAAGTTTAAACTTATTGGCATTAGAAAATTAGTATCTCTTGGGAAAATATGACTAAGACCTATGGAACAATGCTGACATGTCAGAATTATTTAAACATGGGAGATTAGGTTTGTTTTGCTACTGTCAAGTGAAATTCATCATTAGTCAAGATGTCTTGAATGATTTAACCTGAAATACTACAAAAACTTAGTAGGAAAAATTTGTTACCCTCAGACACTGTAATTTTATTAGGACACTTTCTATGTTAGTAGTTCAGAGATGGTAAACTGGCACTTCCTCTGAATTCTGCTTAATATTACCTGTTTTTTTGCTTATGAATTTGGAGTAAACAATGAATAGGAGAGCTTAGAGGGGAATTTTGACTTTCTTGTTGCATCTTGTACATGATGCAGACGTTGGATCCTGTAGTTTCTCTAATGGGTCATTATACAACTCCAAGTGATGCATTAGGTAGACATAATAGCTTTTAAATACTGGGGTTTTTTTAAAGTAAAAATATATAGTATTAACCTTTTCAATAAAAATTATAGTTGCTTTCAGTTGTTTAAAGCTTGAAGAAGTAATATTGGAATGTGTGAAGCTCGCAATTGGACTGACTAGTCAGGCCTAGAAATCTGCTCATAAATAAAATATGGAATGCCCTCTGCTTTGAGTGAAGGTTGGACCAGGTAAAGTTCCTGAGATCCCTTCAATCCAAAGCCATAATTCTGTGAATATCGCAATGTTTGTTCTATTTTTCTGCTATGGAGAATATTGCTTACCTCTGGGAAAGCCTGCCAGATTTTTTCATAGCTCTGACAGTTCTTCATTAAAAATAACTGCTTATACATGTTAATGGCCAGAAGGAGGGAAGAAAACATAAAATATTTTGAAGTGGTTGTTAAGAAAACCTTAATGAGCATATTCAGAATTCATGCACCAAAACCATAAGAGCTTGTTGAAGCCACTTCCTCTAAAAGGATGCTGTACTGTGCTCACACCTTATCCACCCATTGCAGCTGTTCTAGCCTCGGGAGACAAAAAGGCATTTGGAGTTGTTCACTGTGGTGCAATTTTGTTTTTCAGTTCTCTTTAGTTTGTGTTCTGTGTTGTAGCATTCTGAACATTTTTGTTACTTTTTATTTGTTTGTTTGAGATCCATCCCCGTCATTTGAATGTAATCACATTTGCAGAGTCCAAATAAGTAATTAGACGTGAAGTACTTCTCTAACCTGACTTGTAGAAATTCTGTGTGTGATCGTGGGCTTTATCAAGTCTTATTGTTGCGACATCATGATTTGTAACAGATAAAAAATCACTTGGTGGTTTTTAAAGTTGCTGTCTCCTGCTTCCCCTGTGAATCTGCTACAAAGCCCCCAGTTTTAGCTGTCCCTTCATTTCCTTGACTTTCTTGGATGGCATAAATTGGTCATACTAGCTTAATTCCCTCCATCTGCAGTAGAAGAGAAATGACTCCTGGAGGTGGGACATGCCTGTCCTTCTCTGGGACCTGCTTGGGTCACCCTCGCCCCTGCAAGGTGGTAAGAGGACTTTGGATTTTGAGGTAGGGTATTTTTTGAGTAGGGTCTTGTATCCTAAAGAAGCAAGGCTGAAGTTGATGATGGATATGGCAGCACTGCTTTTTGCTGTAGTTATCCCTTGGTTTATGCCCAAATGAATGCACACATGCCCAAATGATTGGTGCCCAGCTAACCACACCAGACTTCTTTATGAGTCCTGGAAGCAGATTTAACGTGTTCAGGATTTCAAGGCCTTTATTGTTTCTTCCTTCTCATTCTCTGTGATGTTGTGTTAATCACTCAAATAGAAGAATTAAGGAATTTGATCAGGAGCTGATATATCAATTTTTTTCAGGAAGTTTTAAAATGTCTTTAATAAAAGCCAAATCTGTGGTATAAAATGGCAGGTAACAGTAAAACCAAGCATACAACAAATTTATACTGTCACAAGGGTGAATAACTGTGCCACGAGCTTAGTAAATATACCATTATGCAAGTGACAAATACTGGTAATTTGAAGTGCTAACAAGAGATATACGCAGTGCATCAAGGATGATACCTGCATCAAGATGACTGCTTTTTCTCTGAACTCTTTCCAGAGCTCTGAGAAGCCCCTGTTCTTGCCAGTCAATCCAGCTATCATGTCTCAGAAAGCATTTTAACTGTTGGTATTTGGCCCGTGATGTGCTACAAATGCAGAAACTGACACATGTCATTAAATTGGTTCTAACAGCAATCACTGAGGCTTTTCTTAGCATGTAACTGAGCATACCCTTGCAGCATGTGATACTGAGAAATTGTTTAGCTCCTTGAATATCCTGTGCTCATTTTTACTTCTATTTCTAGGACATCTTTTTAGGAAAGATGAAAAGGATCAGGACAGAAAAATCATCCTAAATCCACTTAGCCATTTCAAAAACTTAATTTTAAATTTCAGAGCTTATCAACTGCTTTTGTGAGTTGTTTGAGCCCAGTCATTTCTCGACTTAGTGTATCTTCCTTTTAAGATCTTGATAAAAGTTTTACTGTGTCATTAGTCCTAGACTGTTGCTCTCAGAGTCATTGGAGTATTATGGACATAGTTCTAGGATGTACAAAATGCTATGTCCAATCACATGATGTAGAGGTGTTATAAGGCAGTTAAGAAGAGGATTTAAAAAAAAGTCAGGTCTCTACCCTAATCCCTCTTTTACTGTACTTCATGAAAAACTGATTTCTTACTGCAATATTTATTATCCTTCCTGTATTTTGATATATATTGAAGTATTTATATATTGTTGTTGCTAATATTGTGATGAATGCAGGAGAAAGCAGCTTTAAACAGTACACGCTTTGGATGATTTCTCTGTAACAATGCACCTTCTGAAGCTGAAGCATGAGTTTTATTGTACTGTTTCCTTCCTATTCTTGATTTTAAGCTGTTAAAGTCACACAATTGTAAAAACATGAGTTTATTTTGCAAATTAGTTCTGCCACTGGTTGCATTTTCTGTAAGATGGCATTGTAGCAGTGATAAAAGTGGTGTGAATTTACTCTGCAAGAGGAATGCATTAATATGTGTTCCAATCAATAGGCCAAAAAGCAGGAAGTTCTTGGTAGTTTAACCAAAGCATCAAAGGAGTTTCTCTGGAACCTTTGGTTCATTTTGTAAACATTTTCTGTGTACAGTAGAGACAAAAACTTCTCAAGACTGTGAAGTGTGATTGACATTTTAGAGATAGGCAATTTTAAAATCATAATAATGTCAATGAATTTTAGGAATATCTGGCATGAGCCATGTAAAGCCACGTAGACTTTGTCAGCATCCTGCTGGTTCCCTGCTGTGGGCAGTGGTCCCCCTCTGCTGGGGCCAGGCCAGTGCAGGGATGGGGCTGTGCTGCTTCCCTCCAAGCCCTGCGTGTGACTGCAGTGCTGGCATGTGCAGGTTGTTACCTCAGCTAATCACCTGCAGCACGGCAGTGCTGATAAGAACTGAGGGAGTGGTGATAAGAACTGAGCCGTGCTCCAGCTACCTGCAGGCACTGCTTCCTGCCAGAGGGGTTTGCGTTCCACCTTCTCTTTCCTGGTCTCACAGCTAGCTCCCTCTCACTCAGAGTTGGTAACATAATTTCTTCATATTTCTGTTGCATTGTATCTCAAGAAAATTACTTTTTCCATAATGAGTCAGAAATCTGGTAAACAAAACAAGAGGCACAGAATTTTTTGCTTTTGGAGTTCAGCTGCTGCTACTACTGAGGCTTTCTGCCTGCACTGTGCTCAAGAGTCTGAATCTTCAGGCAAGGCAGACACTGGATCCCCTCTTAATCCATTGTCTTCAGCTAATAACTCACGTGGACTAACAAGGTCTTGCTGTATGAAACCCAGTGCATGGAAGCCTGTGAAAAAGGTAGGACTCTTTAGGGCTTTATATAACTTTCCTAATTTATTTTATATTGTGATAGTTGCCCTCACAGTTGAGGCTTGTATTGACTGACAAAGTGTTTTGAAAGTCAAATACAGGCCAGTCTGTCTTTCACCAGCTGTCAGCTTACTGAACAGCTCTAGCATGGCTCCTGTAGTATAGCATTTCTGTTTTGCTGCCAAAGCCTCTGTACATGTTTCAGCTAATACAATTATTAACTAAATTACTGTCTGACAGAACCACTGAATCTAAAGTGAAAATCGTCTTCTTCCTGTTCTTCTATTTTGGTCCACAACATCAAGAGCACTTTCAATTATGATTAAGATGGGCAGGATATTTCCTTTACTTTGAAGACTATAGCTCAACAGAAGCTTCTTAGATGTTTTAGAA